AGGAAGTGGTAACCCCATTTGTTCCCATTAGCCAATCCTGGCCTGGCCAGCCCAGCACAATGCTTGTCATGGCTCCGCTGGGGCTGGGATGCCCCCCCCCAGCTAGCAGCTTTCCCCCTCACAGCAGCAACAAGGCCGGCCTGGTAAGTCGGGTGGGTTTATTTCTCTTTTTGTGGGAAGGAATCTGGTGTTTTTGCCAGACAGTATTCACAAAGTTTCATAGCCACATATTTAATTTGATGGAATTTTCCCCTCCCACCCAAGTTATTCTTTCTGTACTCAGGTCACATCCATACTTTTTCTTTTAAATTATTTCATTTTCAAAGATAATATCTGCAGTAGCATTGATGGGTCAAATCTAATGATAATCTGTCTAATTTTCTGTGATAAAACAAGGAGAAACTGTGAGCTGCATATCATGCTTTAATGAGAAGGAGCACTTTCAAAGAAGCCTGTGCAACGTAAGAAATGAGTTATTTGTTTAAAAAGCTGAAGTTAGCCTTATCATTCTAAGTGATAAGAGATACAGATATTGTTCCTTAAAAAGTTAATCAAGGGAAATTTGCATGAAATATTTGACTTTGAAAATGCTGCAGTATCATTATCACTGGCAAATCCCCCCCCCCCTGCCCTGAATGTCTGAGAGATACTGGTTAAAGTTATAATAGAATGTTTTTTACAGACCTCTATAAAACAAAATCCCTGCCCACAGTGCGAGCACCCAACATGCCACATATAAACATTTGGTTTCACAGTGGACCATACTCTCCCTGTGCCTCTGAATTCATCCATAGAAAGTCTTTTCACCCTCCAAGGCAGGAGGCTCGGGGGGGAGGGGGAGACATCCATTTTGTTGTGGGATGGACACCTTTGAATGCAACCCTTAAACCAGGGGTGGAGAAAGTATGACCCACAGACCACAATCAATTTCTTTGTGCTGTTTTAGAAGTCCTAGGTTCTGCCCAGTGCTCTGCAATTTTTGGTTTTAAATTAAAATAAATAAATAAGGGGTGCTGTAGGGGTACAGACCTCTAAGATCCCATGGGAGGATGATATGTACCCCCCAGCTCCCAGCAGAGACCCATTTTGAAGACAATTGTACAAAATCAACTAGAGGTGAGAACAAATAAAAAAAATGATAGTGTAGCTCTCTACATATGTATATGTGTGTATATATATCTGAATAAGAAAAAGACCTTCAGCGTAGTGTAGATCAAGAAGTTATGGTTGACACTATATCTTGAAAGCAAGAAAATTCATGCTAACTCTGAAACTTTAATGGACCTTTCCTGTGCATTAACTTCCACTTCAATTAAAGTTGTAATAGTCACTCTTTTCATTACATAGCACAACACTGTTGATGTGGAAGAGCTGAAATAGGCTGAAATAATTGCACTATCCACGATCAGTAGATGTTCAGCATTGTCCTAGGTACCATTCAAATATCTGGTTCAGCTGAGTTGATCTGTGTCTGTGTGTATCTGAAGTAGTGTGCTACATTTTAAAAATCTTTTATTGGTAATTATGTTTCAGATGTCTTTTTAATTGTTTTAACTGTGTTTTTTTAAACAATATTGTTTTTAAATTTTTGTAATAAGGTTTTAATTTAATCTTGTTTTCAATAACTGTAAGCCACCTTACATCCTATCTCAAGAGAAAGGTGGGATATATACTGAATTAATAAAATAAACAATAAATAAATAGATCTGAACAAAAGATAGGAAGACATTATGAAAAACATTACATGTTGACAATGGTTGCTGGCACACTGCAGAAATAAAGCAGCTTCAAACAACTTTAACTTCTATGGAACAATGCTATGGAATTCTGGGATTTGTTGTTTGGTAGGGCACCAAAGCTCTCTGATAGGGATATTTTGTGAAACTTCAAATCCCAGAATTCCATAACATTGAGTCATGGAATGTAAAGTAGTGTCCAACTGCTTTATTTCTGCCTTGAAGATACAGCCAATGATATGGTATGGTTTCCTTATAAAAATGAGTGATGCTTGTTCAAGTTTCAAAAAACTAATAGCCACATTTACTCTTGACCAGCATTCCTCCAAACTCTTTGACAAATCAGGGCTCTCTGAATTATTTTTGACTTCCTTTGCCTTTTTTTGTTTTTGCTGAAGGCATCAGAAAAACATAATGATAACATAATCCAAGATTCTTTCAAAGTGCTTAAAAAGCTTTAAGGCAATGAGAAAAAATGGTAATGAGCGACAGCAGATGTTTCTGCTTTGGAGCAATTATGGAACTGTAATTACAGATAGAAATAGAAACTCGCAAAAGCAAGAATATGATCAGCAAGTATTTAGGAAGATAGCAAAAGTGATATGAATACCTACTGTACCACCAAAGTAAATGAGTGAACACTATAAGACAGTAGCCAATGTGACCAGAATGGCTGCTAATAACCTAAGAAAAGACTATTTTTTTTTCAAAATCAGGCTGCTTTTATTAGTTACTTAATGCATTTTTTAAAAATATTCCCAAGATGGAGAATTCAGCCCTCCTTCCCCCCCCACTACTACCACCACCATTATCCACAGGAGCCCAAGTGAGGTCTGCTCAGCATCAAAGAAGTCTGTCATAGAGTGAATGGGATGAAGGCGGCCCTGACTGTGGAGTGGATCTCACCACCTACTTCTCAGGCTGTGGTCCTCACGACTTGGGACAAAGAGGTCACTCATCCTGACCCTGGAGGGGCATCAGAAAGCCCCCCCAGAAAAGACTAATTTTTTGAAGGTGGTATGTCTCATGCTATCATATATGTCGGTGGTCTTGAACAATTTTCCTTAAAATTTATCATGACAAGAAGCATAAAAGCATCCATCAGGTCCTTCCCTATATTCCAGTTTTCCTTATCTTCCTCTTTCTCAAGTGCCTCAGGCTGAGTATAAGGAGACAGTGGTGGTGAACTATTGGCCCACCAGATGATTTGGCCCAAAATTCTGATCAGTCTAGAACAGCCAGTGGGAAGAGATTATGGGAGGTGCAGCCCAAAACATCCAAAAGTGTAAAACTCTATTCTTATCCCTATGCTATACGTGGTCTCCCTGAATCGTCCCCCCCCCAGGTTGTATTTCCTTTAAAATAGCAGTTATTCGAGATAGAAAAGAACGCACAATTCATATCTACAGTTAGCCCTCTGTTTTCATGGGGGATCCATTCTAGACCTCCTACCTCAAAACAGAGACTCACGAAAACAGAGACTCATCGGGTCTGCTCCCATGAGCATGCATAGGTGTGTGCCCATGGGGCTGCACCCCATTGATTTTAATGGATGGTGCCCCTCTGTGAATATATAAAACCACAGACCTCAAATCCGCAAGAACACAGGAGTGCCTGCATTTATTGCATCACCAATTTAGCTGAATTCCAAAGTGGTTTTGACTGATTTGTAACATCTCCAGATCAGATCAGATTGACCCAATTCAGTTTTTGAGCAAAATAGCACCATTCAAAGAAATTCAGATGGATCTGGTGATGTGACAGAAAATAATAAGCAGAGGAAAATGAGATGGTGGGTCTTCATCATATCCATATAAGGGGAAAAAAAAACACACGGAAGTGTGACACAGAAGGACTGGAGGGGAACTAGGCTTTGACCATTGATATCTCTAATGCATAATCCAGAGGAAGAATATTGCTGTACTCTTCTATCATAGTGTTTAAGGAGAAAGGCTGTGTGAGGTCATTGAAGTTATTTAGTCCATTCTTTTCCACATTACTTAGTTCATTTTCTATATTTAGCTGTTAGTAGCAGATCCTTGTAAGATATTCTTTGGAGGTTCGGCTGGTTGTTAACTGTATTTTGAGTATGGCATCTTGGAGTCTTTCTGTATCAATTTCCCAACATTTTATCTTCTTGAGCAGCCTAGTTTCATTCTCTGCTAACCTTAGTTAATAGTTTGTTAATTTGAGTAGATATCTGTTTATTATGTATGGACCTGTTTATGTTTTGGGGAGTAAACCTATTTCCATCCCAATTGGCCCTAGTTGTTGCTTAATCTCTGATTTGCTATCTCAGTGTTGTTGATTTTTGATCTTGTGCAGATTCAAGGTCTTCGACACTGCAGATCCTGGAAAGAAGCTGTCAGGCAGAATAGAAGGAACTGGGCCAAATGGACAACAAAAAGTTTCTTCCTGAATCTGAACATATTGCATGCCATTTGAGCAGCCAGAAGATTTTAATTTATTAGCTGTCAATGAAAGTAATGGCTTTCTTTCTTATACTGAGAGGTATATGAAGGTGGACGTTCCAGTGATCTGACTCAGTATAACACAGCTCCCTTAAATGGACTCTGTACAGTAGGACATGGGCTGGCAAATGCTATTGCTTTCTGCCATTTCTAGTTATTTTGCTGCCTGAAGCAAATGACAAGTAGGGCTGGCCCCAATCATCTAATATCACCAGTGCCTTTATCTACCTTTGGGCTCCTCCTATGCTTTTTGTGAGAATGAGGGCAGGTTCAGGCAAGCTTCCAAAACAAACCAGCAAACAAAGAGGGTGAATTTGTTCAGAGAGGAGTGTCTTTTTTATTTTTATTTTCCCTCTTTAAATGAACTGTGAAGAGAAAAGCTTGACAAGCCTGATCAGAGCCAGTTAATACAATTCAGGAAATGCTATGAAGGCACATCTATGGGAGGAAAGGAGGCTTGTCTGGAAAAAGTCAGGTGATGGCAGCACAGCAGGTTACATATAGTTGGAGAGCAATGCAGATCTCTTGGGGCTACAAGTCTGATTCCCTACTCTGTCTTCTGCAAAAAGGCTGCTAAAATAAAAGAGCTTTGAGAGCCAGCATGGTGTAGTGCTTTGAGCACTGGACTAGACCAGGGTTCAAATCCCAGTTCAACAACCTCTGGTGGTGGTGGTGGATTTTTTGATGGGTTTTGTTTAGGAGGATTTTGATCTTTCCCCAAAGCTGGTAGAGACTTTTAACCTCTGTAACAACAAAAACAAATGACTTATAATGGTGAAAATGGTATTTGGGAGCCAGTGTGGTGTAGTGGTTTGAGCACTGGACTACAACTCTGGAGACCAGGATTCAAATCCCTGCTCAGGCACCTTGATTGTGGAAACCCCACTTGAGGGAATCACACTCTCTCAGCCTCACAGGAAAGCAAAGGCAAACCCCCTCTGAACAAATCTTGCCAAGATACTCCCTTAGGGTCACTATAAGTGGGAAACAATGTGAAGGCACACATTAACAACAGAGGGAAAAGACGAAATAGATTGAGGACAGTCAGAGACAGAGTAAACATCAGAACAGGGTTTTGAAAGCTGTGAATGAGGAAAGAGTTCAGGGAGTTCATAGTTAACCTAATTGTTATATATTAAAGCTTTACTGGCTTTGTTTTCTACAACTGCATCTAACTGTGTCATTTGAGAACTGATAAGAACTAGTCACACTATTACCATATTGAACCCAATAATCATCACAGCCACTTTTCCATCATAGGGGTCACCTTGGGGCCTGAATTCCAGATCAGGCTGAGGGTCAAAGAGCAAGGTGAGTGACAGAAGCCCAAGGGTTGTGACTGTGGGGCCAGCGTGGAAAGGGGTTCTGTCACATAAGCATATATTTTAGAGTGTAATTTTTAAAAGCTACCAGCCAAGGCACTTTGACAACACAGTAGCAGGAGCAACTCTCTGAGCAACTGATGCTGTTTGTGTTCTTTCTTCCCACAGGTACTCTGGAAAGGCTACTTGTATGGTTAGTAGGGATGTAATTCTTTGCTAACTTTGTTCTCAGAGGATACAGAGATTAATTTTAGCAATTTTCTCTGTCCTGTGATAAAGTCTTCAAAAAGAGCATAGTTTTTGAAGACTATTTGCAGTTCAGGATTTGTTCACAAAATTTCCATAGTTTTGTTGTGTGTATGTGTGTGTGTATAGATGCTTTTTTTTTTAAGCAGCATTTTCCACACAGGAAACAAAATTTTCTGCAGATAAAATGTTGGTCCATGCACAGAAGATGCTGTGCAAATTGCTCCCTCCCCCGTCTCATACAAGCAACAAGCAGGAAATGATGTGAACCAGCCATTTGTACAATACATACATTGGGTCACCAGCATTGTTTATAAAAGTTCATTCTCTCTCTGTCTCTCTCTCTCTCTCTCTCTCTCTCTCTCACACACACACACACACACACACACACGCACACCATTAAACATATTCATGGGTAGCTGTGTTGGCCGTACAGCAAAGTCCAATAATATACAAAATCAACAAAAACAGCGATGCATCATGTATTTCATGCATTTTGATAGGCCCAATAAAGGCATCACTGTTTTGTCAATTTTGGATGTTATTGTACTTCACTCTCACTATGGGACTTATTGTCACTTGTATCTGCTTAGTGATTCTGGGAGCTATAGTTCCTCCTATGTTTCCAAGCTCTGCATTGTAAGTTGGAAAAGTTGTTAGCAGCCAATGGAGACAAAAACTTCATCATCTGCATTATTCTGTGGGCTATATTGTAGAATCAGCAGTTGTTTCTGAAAGCATTCCACTTACAGCCGGTTCAGCCTTCTGCCCCCTGCAGCAGAAGTGCTAGCAAAGTAATCACCCTGTAATGTTTTGATGGCCGCACCATCATTTGGAAATAGTCTTACATTATCTCAGCTTGCTGATCCAATAGTTCAACACACTTTAAAAGGCTCTGAGGTTCTCTACACAGACCAACAGTGTGGAAATTGCTACATTTCCAATCGTTACCACATAAACTGTAGCCTGATTTCTAAAAAAAATAAAATAAAAATCTATTCATCAACAGCCACTTTTTGAAAAAGATCATCCCACCCAGGAAGTCAATTGATTAGCAAGTGAAAATACTCTTCTTTTGCATAGCCTTCACTTTTTTGTCTTAGCTAGGGTCACCCTTTCTTGTACTTGTAGTGGAAATGACAACATTCTTTGCTGTATTGCTTCTCTGTGGCCGCATTGGAAGCAAAGGTTTTTATGGTGGCATATAAATCAATTATGCACCAATTTTCTTTAAGCTCTGTTTCAAACTGCCTTTGTCCTTACTGGAAAATAAGAGTTGACATTTGGGTTATTACATGAATTGGACTGGACTGGTACAATTTATGACTCATACAGATTGGCAAATCAAAGTATGCAAGACATTTATCAAGTCTCTAGTGTGCCCCCATTTATAGCTGGTGCTTTATGTTCATTTTGTTGAGTCATATCATTAATTATTGAGTTAACTTAGGCCAGTTCCACCATGAGGCAAAATGTGGCACTCACTTCAAGCATCTTATACTGGGGAGAGAAGGAGAAATGGCAGCCCTTTAACCCTTTCTATCCATTGGAGAATAGAAATATGTGTCCGTTGGAGAATAGAAGTTGTTCTGCACTGCCTAAACTAGCCTGCTGCTCTTACATTATCTCAGCTTGTCAAGCCAATAATTCAACACACTTTAAAAGGCTCTGAGTTTCTCTCCACACACCATCCGTGTGGAAATTGCTGCATTTCCAATCATTACCACATAAACTGCAGCTTGATTTCACAAAATAAATCGATAAATTTATTCGTCAGCAGCACTTTGAGAAAAAGATTGTCCTACCAGTCCAGATGACTTCTGGACATGGGATTTTCTGTGTTTGGCATCTCTTCTTTTGCCTTAGGGAGCAAAACATCTTGAGCTGGCCATAATCTACCAGTTGTTGTTGTTGCTGTTATCATCATTATTATATTTATTTATAGCTTGACTTTTCCCTAGATTTGGGCTTAAAGATTTGTTGCTGTTGTTGTATGCCTTCATGTCACTGCTGACTTATGGCAGCCCTAAGGCAAACCTATCATGGGGTTTTCTTGAGACTGAGAGCATGTGACTTGTCCAAGGTCACCCAGTGGGTTTACTGGCCAAGCTGGGAATTGAACCCTTGTCTTCAGAGTCATAGTCCAACACTCAAACCACTAGGCTATCCTGGCTCTCTACAACAATTAAAAATATTCTTAAAATGCATAAAATACAAAATCTATTTAAAAAATTATTTTGTTCTCTTCTTATTTATTTATATTTCTGGAGGTTTGTGTGTGTGTGTGTGTGTGTGTGTGTGTGTGTATTAGAACCCTGAACATCATTTGATTCCTTGACATGTGAGATTATACAGTCATTATCTGGCAGCTGAATGTTTGAATGGACCTCTGTGAGATGCATTGCATCTGAGGTGATATCAAAGATCTAGCTACCTGTGGTGGTGGCCCAGTCAAGCATACAACAACTAAACTTGCAGCCATTGAGTGATTAAACACATGAATCTGCAGCAGTCCTGGAGACTGTTGGTGTAAAATTTGCCATATGCATAAAAGACAAGTCACACACTATGCTAAATGAGTGGAATTAATATGTGGAATCATGTTTCTTGCTGTTATTGCTAGATAAAAGAAAAATTAATCAATTTCAGTGTGGCTACTGTGAGGAATGATTACAATTAATATAATGTCACTGTCATTAAAAATAAAATAAAAAGAAGAACAAACACACACACCTTTGAAATCTCATGGCTCTAGGTAGGTATTTCATTGGATAATCATGCCATCAGAAGCTGGTAATATGTGGATTCTTAGAGATTTTAATCTATGTGGTTTTAGCAGTGAATGTAAACAATGTTGACTATAGAAAACAGGGCTTTATGTCCTGTTTTGATAGATGATGTTTGGGGGAAAAAATCCTTTCTGAGCTTATAATACTGAGTGATACTGAACCACAGTTGACATAAGCAGGATTTCCACACCAGAGTGCCTCTATTGTGAAAGATTGTCATATAACATCCATACATAACTCCCTTGGCTACTGACCTTTTCACCTTCTCTGTAAGTGATAATGGGTAGCTGACTGAGAAACTGGCTTTATCACATAAGAAAATGGGCATTTGAAAAAATATCAAATGTGACAACTTGTCACTTTGCATGCAGTACAAGCCCATATCCTTAGCATGAATGTCTAAGTGTACTGTGGTGGAGGAAAAAAAGACATCAGACACTGTAAGATCTTCAGTTCAACACAGCAGCTAGGAAGAATGTGTTTTGACACTACATAAGTTAGCTGGTAAACTCGAAGCATTCAGAGTATGAGTAACTAATATTGAAAAATATTAAAGAAATGGAGTGGTATAAACCTCACTGTTCAGAATCTTGGTTCATTCTTTCATGCTGGCCCCACCAGTTCCTCTTCAAGGTAG